ACTATATTCTTAAATTAAGAATATATTCTTAAATAAAGAATATATTCTTAATTTCAGAAGAATATCATCTAAAATCTTTAAGAAGATTTTTTAAGTATAAAATCTTCTACTTACAAGAATATAATTTTTTCGGTGTAGCTGACGGTCGTCCAGGCTTGAACGGGAAACGGGAATATTTCTTCGTTTCCTTGTAACAAGGAAAAATTATGTGTTATACAACAACAGAAATAATGTAGCAAAAACCAATGTGTCTATTTAATTTATAAGCAGAGTCAAATTAATTTATTCGCAAAGATATGCGTTTTAAAATTAGATTTAGATGATCGTGCATACGTTACTATATAGGACAAAATCACATCGAGCGACGAACGCTTTCTCATGCTGATGCACGCCGAGTAATACCGAACGTTTATGCTACGTCACAATTGTCTCCAGTTTTCTAACTGTGTATATAATTTTCTCTCATCATTTGCACGGCCTCAGCCGAGTTTACGGAGCACAATCAAAATTCACGCCTGTAATAAACATCGTGAATTTAACTACACTACAGACCGAAATAATTTTGCAGTAATGCGAAATCTATCTTTTATTTTCCGAAAAATTTCTATTTTTAATTTTTTTTCTTATAGTTCACACACGCACACGCACATATCTTGATATTTTTACGAATATCGACTCTTTTTAATAATACAGAAGAAACCAATGAGAGAAACTTCAATGCTCCGCTTTCTCGGTATAAAATATTTTTGAATAAAGTCCTGTACAGAAAATCGAGAGACCCCAACGTAGTACATTTAATTTTTCAACGTTGTGTTACAAACATGTCGTGTACACACGTTCCGAAAAACGCACTGTTTCTTTCTAACAATCATAAAATAGAATTTCAACCTTTGCGTTGTTTGATCGAAGCGTTACGTTAATTTATTAAGAAATGAAAAACCTTCGCGATTTTAAAACTTCGTTATATTTTGAACTATTCGTACTCATTAAATTCAAAATTTTGACAATAAAACTTTACATGAAGTTTTTTAAATGCATGGTTTTACGATTTTGAAAAAACAAATCTGTATCGGATTACGTCGCGTGTCGCGTGTACATACCGTGGTCGCGCGTTTCGGTTTTCGACTCCGCAAGTTTTACCCGCAGCCATGTCTTCAGCAACGTCTCGCGGCTCTGCAGGGTCGCGTTTTCCCATTCGGCGCAACTCTGTCGTCGTCGGTCGAAAAATTCACCCGAAATCATGTTGATATTTATTTCCTGATTTTCGCGCGCGATCCACACCTCTGCCTCACCTGCGCGACGACTGCGTACACTCGCACTCGGCGTGCGAATGTCACGAACGCGAATATATATAGCAACACGAAACGGTCTCCCTTCTCTCTCTTCGCTAGCACACGAGTACTTGTCAAAGAGGGTTTTAGCCGCAATTAATAATTATCAATTATCTGCTTTGTGTCGTATAATGCGCAAGATAGCGCGCGACTTCACATTTTCCTTAATCCCATTGTTGTTGGACTTTTTTTTTTTCTTTATTTTTGACTCGAGCACTTTCAGAAGATCGTATCGAGATCTCCGGGAAATGAACAAGGCCCGAGGCTGCATTTTTGGTTGCCCTTGTTTTGAATAACCTGTAATCAGGACCTATAAACGAACGTTTTACATGACGTGGTTTTACTGCCGTTTGATGGTTCCTTGAACTCGTCGCCCCCCCTTCTCCCCACCAAAAGTGACGATTTTGTAACTCAAATGTTTCAAAAACTCCAAAAAAAGAAATGAAAATCTGACGTTGTTACAAACGGATTGTTATTCGTTTTTTGCTCAGTTATCCGCGTATTATGCAAACAGTATGCTTTCGCTCTCTAACGCTACAAATTTAAAGAATTGTTTTTAACAGTAAAGGAGAAAAGGAAAGAAAGAGAGAGAGAGAGAGAGAGAGAGAGAGATTTGTTGAAGACGTTACTTCACATCATTTATTGTGGAGACTCACGCTAATTACCTGGCAGTTAGAAGCTGTTTGGAAAAAAGGCTCGAAGTAGATGTTATTGATCAGAATTCGATCAATGCGATTAGTCAATTAGCTTATTTCGTATTTCCTCTTTGGATTTGCTCCGCTAAACGCAACCTACATGAGTATAATAAAAATTGAGAAACTCTTGTTTGTAATATCAGAATTAAATATATATTAGAATTAAGAGACAAAAATAATTAGTTCTTCTAGTAAATAACATGCATGTAGGAGACACGTATGTAAATCATTGCGTAATGAGATTTGCAAGAGACCCTACATGGAGTCTCGCGACTAAACGAAAAGAACTATCCCCGTTGAGAATATTCCCTTTTGTCTAGTCATGGCTTCCCCTTTTTTTACAACGCGCGTAATGATTGCAAAATATCGCTAACGTTATATAGCGCAGCGCGGGCATGTGTACGCGCGCAAATGTTACAGCGACCGGAACGAGCTTAATCGACTGTAACGAGTAATAATAAAAATACCTTGAAATAAGCAGTTGAAAACGACAGAAACGATTATATTTCTTTGATTTTTTTTTTAAATCAAAACCTGGGAAGATTGCAAATTTCTCTATTCTTGACTTTTTCTCTAATTTTGATTAAAAAAAAAAAAAAAAAAAAAAAATAGTATGAAATCCGCTCGTGAAAATTCAAAATCGTAGAGGAAAAGGGCCGATACGAGCCCAACCTGGATGTTGATGGTAATATGTTTATTGATTAATTTTCAGACGTTTCGATCCTCCTTGGGATCTTTTTTTAGTGATAGTGTAATGGTAAATGACAAAAATTACAAACATTGTGACAAAATAAAAAGAATACAATTGAAAAAATCATCGGCTCGCATACCTGAATAAAACAGAAAATCCGATCAGCGTAAATAATATTATGTTAAGAAGTTCATTTTATATTGTTCAAAATAATGATGATAAGTCAACAATATTTAAATAACAATATTAAAATTCTTAATACTCGAACACGACACCGAACACTGATAAACAGATCTTACGTCGTGCCATATATATATATTGTTATCCCCCCATCGCTTTTATCAACAAATAATAATAGATAGATGGCAATGACAACGAGAGAAACAGTCAAGAGAAGCGTTATTTTGAAAAATAATTTTTAAGAAACGGGAAATAAAGTGTGTAATCTGACTTGATGTTAATGGAGTTGATCTGTAACTTAATATGTATCATTTCTGATATAAACAATCTTTTAAAAAACGATAGTTCAATATCTCTAAAATTTTAACGTTATTCCATTTAAAAGATCCATATCAGAAATGATACATATCTAGTTACAGATCAACTCCATTAACACATCAAGTCAGATACGGACAAACTCACACTTTATTTCTCGTTTCTCAAAAATTACTTTTCAAAGTAACGCTTCTCTTGACTGTTTCTCTTGTTGTCATTGCCATCTATCTATTATTATTTGTTAATGAAAGCGATAGAGAAATACCAATATATATATATATAAGACACGACGTAAGATCTGTTTATCAGTGTTCGGTCTTAAGAATTTAAATATTGTTAAAGAATTTAAATATTGACTTATCATCATTATTTTGGACAATATGAAATGAACTTCTTGACACGATATTATTTACGCGCTGATAGGATTTTTTGTTTTATTCAGCTACGCGAGTCGATGATTTTTTAAATTGTATTCTCTCTATTTTGTCACAATGTTTGTAATTCTTGTCATTTATCATTACGCAGACTATCACTGAAAAAGATCCCAAGGAGGATCGAAATGTCGGAAAATTAATCAATAAACATATTACCACCAACGTCCAGATTGTGCTCGTATTGGCCCTTTTCCTCTACGATTAAAAAAAAAAAATAAAATACTCAGCCGCTCGAGTCAGCTGACACAATTGTATTAATACTCGTGGGGTATACCGGAGAGAAAGCAAGGAGCGGAATTTGAAGAGCTTCGAGACGGCGCTGCTCGAGTACCAAAAATAATCGAACCAGAAGTAAACTTGCTGCACGCACCAAACTGGTCCCGAACGCGCCGCCAATCGAGTGCGCGAGCCACCGCCGTCGTGAGTTTTTCCCGGATATGCGTTTTTCCGGCGAAGTGAGGGAAGATTAACGTGCGTCACGTGTTTTTCATCGAGAACGAGCTTTCGTCGCAAAAAGAAGAGAACGAAAGAAAATTAAGAATTTTGTTCATGCCGATAAGTCGATGTCTCGTGTTTTATCTCGCGCTGATACCCGTCGTGTGTCTGGCCAAAGACGCACACATGTGAGTTTCGCATAGCGTGTGATGTCTCTGTTTTTACGATATATTCTCAGAGAAAAACCAATTCCGAGTTCTTAACTTTAATCTTTCGAAAATAACAAATTCAGCCGCAAATTTATGCGACGCCATTTCGACGACAGAATTTCATCGCGGATATTTCGTCACAATCTTGACAAGAATCATCTTGAATATCGTTTGGACACGTAGAAAATTGCAAAATGTTTTTTTTTTTTATCGGCGTGTTTATTTATTTTTTGTTTTGTCATCACAGTGCGATCGCGCGTCTATCTTTTTCCAAATACAATCGCGATTTTTTTTTCCAGCGTAAGCAAATGGGCAGATGACCTGGGCAACGAATTGTGGAAACTCGCGATCGAAATAGGCCGACCCGACGAGTTGTTGGAAGTGAGTAAACGCGCGCGTTTTCTTGCGCTGAACATCTCGAACAATATATAAATAATAATAATAATAATAATAAAAATTAAAAAATTTTTTTTGCGAAGAGATCCGCCTGCGACACGCAGACGGAGTCGGTTGTGCCTCAGAAACAATAAACAAAACAATAATTACGAGAAAACCAAATCTCACATTATCATCCTTCTTATAATTTTCTTTTTTTTTTTTTTTTTAAGTTTTTAACGTTTCGATATGTTTTTGTGATCTTCGCATGTGATCTTCGTAGAAATACAAGAGCATGAACACCCGAGTTGAGGACAAGTCCGGAGAAAAGCTAGTTGAGATAATCAGCAAGAATGTGAGTAGGATGCTGCGCCGCAAGATGGACGCGGTTACTTGCATTCGGATGGCGGCCGAGGAAGCCGCCGAGAACTGGGACACATCTTTCGTCGATTCGTTTTTTTTCAACAACTCCGCCAAGAGGTACAATCCCAAGAGCAACTTCTCTTACACTTCCGGCAAATGCAGCCCGGTAAACGGCGAACCGGCGGAGAACGACGTCTATTGCGAGAGAGAAAATAATAGCACGTACAGGTGAGAGATTTTGCTCAGTCATCGTTATTTGTTTTTCTTCTTCTTCTTCTTCTTGAGCAAGAGATGTCTCCTAGGATGTGAATGGTACAGATTAGTCACAGATTTTAACCGCGAAGAGTTTCCAGCGAATTGAGGATAATGTGTTGTGTGCGCAAATCGAAACAACAACAAATTGTAATTTTTGTAAATAATTGCGGAAGAAAGTCTAGTTTCAAATTCGATCTCATATTAAAGAAATGTCCCGTTAATTAGAGATAAAAGAATCGACATATTGCGTACCGATTACAGAGAGATGGAATTGACTTCGGACTCGCATTTCTACAACATCCCGGTGAACACGAGCCACTCGTCGGTTCACATACCGACCAACGTGTTCGATCTCAAGCGAGAGGTGGTGGAGGATATCTTGAAAACCGAGCCGTTGGATGACATGTTTCGCAAGAATTACGAATCCGATCCGGCGCTGTCGTGGCAGTACTTCGGCTCGGTAACCGGTATGCTCAGACAATATCCCGCAATGCAATGGCGAACGCTCGAGAACGAGCAGAAAGAGCGAATCGCCGATTTGTACGACTGCAGGGTGCGCAGTTGGTTCATCGAGGCGTCCACGTGCAGCAAGGATATGGTGATACTGATGGACGTTAGCGGCAGCATGACCGGCATGGGAAAGACGATCGGTAAGGCAAGATTGATCGAAACCGAAAGTCGCAACCAGAAAAGTTTCCGATTAAAAAAATCCAATTTTATTCTGTTTTGTATAATTGAGAAGTTATACACTTTCACAATTTTTCAATATTGTTTTACATCCTATTTCGACTATATTTTGTTAGATAATTATCGCGCGCGTTGTTTTAATGAAACAACAATGTTGTGAACAGCGAAGACAACTGTGAACTCGATTCTGGACACACTGTCGAACAACGACTTCGTCACTCTGCTCAAGTACGACACCAACACGACCGATTTGGTGCCGTGTTTCAAGGACATGTTAATCCAAGCCACACCGGAGAATATAGATACGTTCAAAAAGTCCATGGACGACATCGACAAGACGGAAGGCATCGCCAATGTTACGAAAGCTCTCAACAAGGCGTTCAGTCTGCTCAAGACTTATCGGGAGACGCGCGGCTGCGACGCTGACACACCATGCAATCAGCTCATTATGCTCGTCACCGACGGCATTCCCGGAAATCTGAGTGAGGTGCATCGCAAATTTTATATAAAATATACTTTAGCTAAATCAAGCTTGTCACCGTTGTCTTCTGTTGCCCTCCTTTTTATTCAATTAAAATTTAATCGCACTTATCGTAATTGGTTGCAAATTATATGTTTAAACAATTTACATGTTTTTTGTGTAAATTCATATGTTTCATTGTGCGTATTTAATCGCTCCACTTGTCAATTCTTTATATTGATGACTCGTACGAGATACCTACTGGTGTAAAATGACAAAACCGATTCCACTTCGTTGCTAAAACATCTAATTAGCATGAAAAGTAAAAGTCAATCAATTTGCATGTTGCTTTGCATAGTCCGTGTTTCTTTCCTTATGATTATTCTCTTTTGAGACTCGATGTGGCGTGATAGATTAAATAACAAGTAAATAATACAGACCAAATTTCGCGTGAATTGCAAACAACATAATTTCATATGCGCACAAACATATTTAAAATACACATTTAAATTAGTTATTGCGCGACACAGTCTTATTCAAAAGTTTTAATTTTATGCTACAGAAAAGTTTTCTCAGAACTCTCGATTCACATGTAAAAATGTTTCAGACTCTATTTTATCGATGTGTCATTGGTGTCGAAATAAATATTATAAAACGCTTGTTATAAAATAAAAGGTTGAAAAGGTCGATTCGAGCAGGTTAAAATGTGATTAATGTATTGTAAAAATGTAAAAAAATTTAATGTATTATACAAAATGCATGCAAATAATATCGAAGTGCAAATTGTCGCGAGGTGCAAAGTTCTTGATATAAAATTTCGATGACAAATGAGATGAATAATGTTTTTCACGCCTCAAACGCTAATCTCAGAGAGTGTACTCACAAATAATGTGTTGCAGTTGTGTGTTGCTGTGATGTCCATAATTAAGATGATTTCTCTGAGTCGTCAAACCAAGCGTCAAGTAGACACGCAAACATGACAAAAAAATTTTATAGATCAAGAAATTTGCACCTCGCGACTGAAGAAGATTCCCGTGTGAAATCGAAACGTTTCGCTTGCCAGTATGCAATTTGTATAATACATTAAACATAATCACATCTCGATCTGCTCGGATCGATCTTTTTAACCTTTCATTGGTGTAGAAATAAATAAGTAGTTTTATCATGCTCAAAATCTCTTTAAACAATTTCACTTCTTTTTGCCAATGCGGTAAACTTTTAACTAGCGATTGTCCGCGCTTTACACATTGAACGGCAATCTGACAACGTCGCGCGCGCGACTTAATCAAATCTGTCAGGTTCTTGACTACTCTGTGAAACACTGCTAGTTGACTTCGTTTTATCCGTTGATCTTATCTTGTAACTTCACACGCGTCACTCACTCTTATCATATTCTTCTATTATATTCCTAATTAACAAGCTGTACTCCGCACTTTGTGATCCAATCAAACGTCCACTTATCTTATAACACACTAGCCCACCTTCCTCTAACACTTCTCTTTCTCCCTGTGTTTTATTTATTGTGAAAAAAAGAAAGTGTGAGAAGCTCGTGTTGTATAAATACAGGTAGTTGAAATGAAGGTCAATAACGAGCAATGATGGTGTTAATATAAATAATACTGATAAATCTCGAGCAGTTTACTTTTTTCCGTGTATTTTGGATATTCCTTCATTATCAATCAGCCGATGTGCGAATAAAAATATCCTCGCGTGGTAGTGTGAGGATCGGCGTTGGTGTCGCAGTACTTATGATGCATGCGATGATTTTTTACCCACTTGACTATTGTATTCTAGAAAAATAAACAAAAAAAACACAAACACAAAAAGAAAAACAAAAAAAAACAAAACTCGTCATTTGTATTTTACTAGCACAACACAGGCGCGCGCTACGCGCACGCTATTGTTATTTTTATTTAACGTGTTGTCAGTGAACACAACCTGTCACCGCGATGACAGATAGTATATACGTCTTATAAACCATATAATACACATATGAGAAATGTCAGAAATAACGCATGAAAATCAAACTCAAAAAATAGTGAGAGAGATAGAAGTGGAAAAACAACACGTGACTAAAGTGACGTGACAGGGTAAAAGGGTAAAAAAGAGAATATTATATACATTATACGTAATATTCTATATCTATATATAATACACACACATACGCATATATGTATATATATATATATACCGTAATCACGTGACCGAAGTCAGTAACACCGCCGCGGTCGCGCGGTCGCGCGGCCGAGGTCAGTGACTCCACCGCAGTCGCGCGACTGAGGTCATTGACCCCGCCGCGGTCGCGCGACCGAGGTCAGTGACCTCTCCCCACCAAGGCCGCGCGGCCGAGGTCAGTGCCCCGCCAAGGCCGCGCGGCCGAGGTCAGTGACCCCGCCAAGGCCGCGCGGCCGAGGTCAGTGACATTACTAATATAAAAAGAGAAAAGAATCGTTTTTAAAAACTTCTTCCACGTGCACGTGTGAAAATCGCTCTTTTCTAGATTCTTATCGTATAATCAGAATTCAGAACAAAACGTTAAACAAAAAAGTATTCTTGCGTTTATTTGGTCTGTGTGGCTTCTGAACTGGAGATAATAGAAGAAAAAATAATACTGGAGATAATAGAAGATAAACAAAAATGTGGGTGAAATTTATTACACTCAAAAGAAACGTCATTACTATCGTCGTCGTGAGACCAAATTGTGTGCATGTTCGTATGCATGCTACCAGATGACATACATATACGAGTGCGTTGAAAGAAGAAAAAGAAAGAAAGAAGTGTGAGTTAGAAAAAGAAAGAGAAAATCTCTCAAGAGACACGGTAGTGATTCGCTTTATTAGCGCCGGCAACACCTCCGATAGTACCGATCGCTTCGACAATCCCGAGAAAAAATGAAAAATCATGTGATCATATAGGATTATATGTAAATCGGATGCAAATTTTGTATGATCGTATAAACTTTTATATAAGTCAAATATGATTTTATACAATTTTGATATGATTTTATGTGATCGTGTAAAATCAGATCCGAAATCTGGCGCGATCTGATTTTATATGATCATATATAAATACATAAAATTATGTACAATAGTATACGATTTCTTTTATATTTTATATATGATCATATAAAATCAGATCGCGCCAAATTTCGGATCTGATTTTACACGATCACGTAAAATCATATTCAACTTATATAAAATCATATTCGACTTGTAAAAAAGTTCACAAACATTTCAAACTTGGATCTCAGCGTGCAATAATCGTAACTTATTGTGCGTGCCGTTCTACATTCTTAGTGAAACTGCAATATCTACATTATCTACTTGATTAACGTTTTTTATGTATATATTTTTTGCGAACATTATTGTCATGCGTACTTATATGTTTTAAGTTATATTTATTCACATTGAAAAAGACTCAAGTCAGAGTCGAAACGTCTGTGTTTTAACTAGTTATCTAAATTTATTAAATATATATTTTTGCTACCACCTAAGTATTTTGGCTCGATTGGACCTAAATATCTTATTTATATATTATATTAACACCATCATTGCTCGTTATTGACCTTCATTTTCTCAACTACCTGTATTTAGTTATTCTGGTTAGAAATTAGAAGTAACGGTAACGCTCTGAGGTGCACTTTGCCTGTTCGCGTTTGATAGTCGTCTTCGTTTCTTCTTCTCTTTTCAAAACGATATTTATGACGTTGAAGTCTCGTCCTCCGGAAAGAATGTAATTGCACGGTACGAGAAATACCGACGAAGATTTAACACGCGGGCAAAAAAGTTTTTGCCCGTTTTCTGTCAGTTTTAAATCTTGCTCTTTACTCGGAAATTTCGATACGCCGCAGCTGACGAGAACGATTATTATCGTGCGGTCGGTCAAAAACAAAAAAACTTCTCACTTTTTCGTTTCTTGCGACGAAGAAGTCCCGAGAAAATTTCGAGAAGAACGAACAATCGCGCAGATTCTCGCCTAAATAACTAAAACCTACGTTTTTGAACATGCTTTAGCTTTTACCCGCAAAGTAGACTACGCGATATTATTTTTTTATCGTACTGAGATTTTTTTCCATCAAATGTGTGACAAAAGGATGTGCACAAAGTGGATTGAGTTGTTTTTAACGTGACTAGAATGTTTTTCTTCTATAAATTGAGTTTGACTGAAAACTCTCTGAAACACTTTTAAAGCCTTCTGGAACTTCTTTTCAGCAAATGATCACCGTAATTGTTCAATTTCTCTTTTCATAGGTCTTCAAAAAGTGGAACTGGATGGAAAACGATACGCACATACCGGTGCGAGTGTTCCCGTATCTTTTGGGCAAGGAAGTGTCGAAGGTAAGGGAGATGAAGTGGATGGGATGCAAGAATCGTGGTTACTTCAGACACGTGCGCACTCAGGAGGAGGTGCGCGAGCAAGTGCTCACGTATATTCCCATAGTGGCGCGTCCTTTGGTGTTACAGGAGAAGGAACATCCCATCGTTTGGACGCACACTTACGCCGACATAACGGTGAGAAATTCGCGAATTCGAGTTTAATTTTCAAGAACTTTCGATATTAATCAATTAAATCTTTCTTTGTTATTTTTTAGAGGCAAAAAAAATCGTTAACTTCTTAAAGAGCTATTTCTATTTCGTCGAACGTCGTTTTCTTGTGTGTAGAGGGTGATTTTTTTTACAGATTACATTTAAAAATATTCTTGTAATACGCAGAAGCGAGTGCAATTTTTCAAAAAATACGGAAAAAAAAAGATTTGCTAAAATAGCGAGAAATTAGTTACCGTATGTGGCCAGCAAAAATACATTTGCTGAGTTTATTAAGATTTTTGTTTCGCTTAAAAAAGATTTTTTTGTCGATGAAAGAAAAACTTCTGTAAACTCAACAATTTTTCTTGCTGACCGTATAACAGCAAAACGTTCGTTTTTGTGTAGGTATTTGTTTTTTAATATGTGTTTAACATATGTAGTTTTTATTTTTATTACCCTTCCAAATTCCAAACAATATATCGCATGTTTGTGGAAATAAAAAGCCGGCGATTACAGGAAAGGTAAAAAAAAAAATAAACATTAACGTAAATTCCATCAGAATCCGGCACTTGCCGCTTGGCTGTGGCTTGTGATGGAGCACGGAGAACAAAAGTCACGTCTACAAAAATATCTAAAAGGAAAACGACTGGGCGTGCGAATAAATGAAGATGCGATCTACATAAAGCAGGTTGAAACACATCACGGAGAAAGCATTATTCTATTTGTCTGTCTTTTTTTTAGGCTTTTTCAGGCATTCTAGATCTTTACAATTAGTTTCGCATTTGTTCCCCCCCCCCCCTACACGCTATTATATTTAATATCTCCGAATGCCAAACGGGAATACAATATTCCCGATGTGACGAGAGTTTTTTACTTCACAAGTTGAAGATGATTTTTATAAAAAAAAACAAGTTGTTCTCTCTAAATATTTAAAAAATATCAAGTAATTTTATTTTGGTTGATACTTGATGTGAGAGAATAAAAATCGAATAATTGAACAAACTGACTTGGGAAAAAAAAACACATATTTTCTTTGAAAAATACCTGAATACAAATGTTAAGTTTTAATTTTTTAACAATCATTGACACAATTAAAAAATATAGATTTTTTGATTGAGTGCTGATGAATGTGTATATCGAGTACCTTGCTTACGCTTAGAGGCTTATCAATTGATGAGATTGAACCAACGTAAAATGTAGTTCGTTTAACTGTTGGCTCTTAGAACTAGACACGAGACAACCGCAAGTAGTTGATCGCTGAACAATAATAAGTAAGACGATCGCTGTAATCGATGCACCCAAACTAGTTCCCCAAACTACTTTTGTTGACTGGATTTCGAGTCGACTTTCTTTTTGTTTCATTTCTTTCTTATTCATTTTTCTGTTCGATTGTTAGATCTGTGTTGACTAGTTTACGTAAAGAAACTTTGGAATTAAACGGAACAACCGAAGTTTCGATTCTTCTAAAACGTCATCGAACAACAATATCCACGTGTGTACAATGTAAATTTATATTAAAAAAAATATATAGTACGTACATTATTTGAAAAAAAAAAAAAATCAATTACATCTAAAAACGAAAAAAAAAAAAAAAAACAAATTAGTCGCGAGATTTCGGTTGCGGTTTTGATTCCACACGCCTCGGTTGTGTACTATAGAAAAACCGAGAGCAAAGTAGATAGCGTGATCCTTTCGCTTTCATTGCAACCCGGCGTCTTGCCCGCTATGTTTGACCGAAAGTACAAAACGGAACAACCGTCTCGACACAATTCCGTAAATTCTTGCAAATGCTGTCTGCGCAGTTGCACAAAGACGAGAATATCGAAGAAGATCCGTCCCTTTTGAACACCACCGCCTGGCAGGAATACAGACTGCTCACTTCCGTGAGCACGCCTGTATTCGACCGCACGGGCAACCGCAACAATAAGACACGCGTGGCGAATCTGCTCGGCGTGGCCGGCACGGACGTGCCGATCGACGACATCCGCAAGCTCACGTTGCCGTACAAACTCGGTGTAAACGGGTACGCCTTCATCGTGTCGAACAACGGCTATGTGATACTGCATCCGGATCTACGGCCGGTCTCAAAAGGCCAGCTTAAATTGAACTACAACAGCATCGACCTCACGGAGGTGGAGATACTTGATGACGGGCGCGGACCGAGGTAATAAAACGACGACGCGACGCGCTCGCCAACCAAAAAAGCCGTGTTTGTTTCAATCTTTCGCTCAGATATTGCGGAAAAATTGCAACGTAAAATAACACATACATTGCTTTAGAAAAAATAAAAAAAAATAAAAAAAAATAAATAAATATTTATCTTTTTTTTCTCAATTTTTCTGTTTTCGTTCTCACTCTTTATTCAATACGTGCTTTTTAAAAACGAGCGCAGAGATGCGGGACCGGAGATACTGGAGCTGAGATCAGCGCTGGTCGATCACAAGCAAGGTAGCATGAGAGGGATACCCGTCAAGTTACACTACGACGACAATCGTCGAGTGAACCTCGAAAGACGTGATTATTTCTACGCGCCTCTGAACGGTACACCGTTCAGCCTCGCAGTAGTCATACCTAATTACGGAACCACCTGGATTAAGGTTCAGTTGGAAAGCACACCAAAAAAAAAAAAAAAATAAAAAAATAAAAAAATATCGCAGCAGTGTGTTGTTCTTACGTAATCCGTAGATAAATTAAATTACGTACGCTTAACAACTGTGCGCATGCCGAATTACCCCATATTGATATACATTACAATTAATTGAAGAAATAATTGAAAAATGATTTTAAAATAATTTGCGCGTTATTTTCAAGGTCGGCGATGAGATCCGCCGAATTCAGGACGTGAAGATGAACATAACAGATTACTTCGCGGGCGATCATTGGCGCATACATCCGAGCTGGGTGTATTGTCGCTATCATTACCTGGAGGGTCACCAGTTCGACAGTCCGGAGAACGAGTTACGTCACTTTTTGGCACTTATAAGCCGACCCGGTTGGAACTGGTCCGAGCAGTACGAGGCCGATCCGGACGAGGAAGTAAACTGCGGCAGACAAACACTCCAACGAGACGACTACTACTGCAACCGCGAGCTTATGCAGTTATTGGTGTTCGACGCCAAAGCGACGAATGATAGTTTCCGTGGCGATTATCTGAATCTGCCGTACAAAACTCGGAAATTGGCACAAGAATACGGTGTTTTTATACGATTTATCGCGACGCAGAGCGGTCTCACCAGGTGGCATCATCTTCACGCCACCGAGCTGCCGGACGATGACGATGGTATTGTCTTCGGCGACCTTCACAGGCGAGCGGTGAACGAACCCTGGTACAAAGCCGCGATTATTCAAAATGATTCTGACACTATCTCTTTATCCGGTGAGAACTAAATCTTTGTTTATACAGTTGTTTTGTTTTATTTAGTTTTTTTATTCGCGTCATTCAATGTGCGATAGTTCCATGGGAGGCTGGTTCGGATGCGATAATCACGGTGTCTATGAGCATCTCGCCCAAAGACGGTGGCAAAAAGGCGGCGGCGGCCGTAGTAGGCTTCCAAATGCCGATGACGAGTCTGTACAAACGATTTATCGAACTGACCTCGATGACAAACCCGACGTTGAATTGTTCGAGGGATTCGATCGACTGCTATCTGCTGGATCAAAACGGTTACGTGGTGATCTCCGAGGCGCACAAAGGAGAAACGGGACAATTTATGGGCACTCAAGAAGGCGCCATCATGGAGTCCATGGTCGGCCAAGGTCTTTACAATCCGGTGGAAATCTACGATTATCAAGCTTGGTGCCACGAGATTGTTAGTGTCTAACGATATAAGTAATTTATCAGTTCTCATCCCGGGAAGAAATAGATTAGATCTGATTTAAATCTAACGAGATAAAAAAATGAAAAAAAAAGATTTAAAAAGTAAAAAAAAAAGATTTAAAAAGTGAAAAAAAAAAGATTTAATTAGATCCAAATTAAATCTAAATAGACATAAAGTAGATCTAAATAGATTTAAGTAAATCTATGTAAATCTACACTTTATTTATTCTTAAGATCTATTCAGATCTACTATATTAGATTACCTACCTTAGATCTAAGCAGATCTGAATGAACATGATCTAATACAGTAGATCTGAGTAGATATAAAATATAATAGATCTAAGAATAATTAAAGTGTAAATTTACAAATGGATCTATTTACATATCTCTTGTATCTAGATTTGTATCTTGTATTTAGATTTAATTTGGATTTATTTTTAGATCTATTTTTTTATTTTTTTTATCTCGTTAGATTTAAATTAGATCTAATCCATTTTTTCCTCCGGGATCTCTTAATATGTTACATGAGAATTAATGGAACGGAACTCTTAAATATAACAGAACTCTTTAACACGTTGTTTCAGCGAATTCGCAACGCCGCTAGCATCATAATGGAGCCACTGCTATACATTACGAGATTCTTGATCTGGTTCCTGTTGCGATTAGTGTGGCTCACGACGCAGTGCGTGAACTTGCCCGGTATTTACGGCAAGGTTCACTTCGACGAGGACGCGCCCGATCCACCGCCACCGCCGACCCCTTATCTCTTTTACTATCCTTGCGATCAGAAACGAACGCTCTACATGATGAACAATACCGTAGCCGCCAAAGGTATCACCAATCATACCGATTATTGCTCGAGACCGTTCTACGCTCAGAAAGTGAGTACTTTCGCGAATTTTGATTTGATTGAAATGTACAGTTTTGTGATGAATTACAACTTTTGACGTCGCAATGTAAAAACATGTTTTGATATGAAAGTAACATGTTTTTTTTCTTTATAAATAAGACATTTTGCTTACGTGGCTTAGTTTTGTTACTTTTTAATTAATTATCTATCATATAGCGCAGTACTCGAATAGTTTTCGAAGGTGCCATAAAACGCCAATAATATTCACAGGTGGCGCACACCAATTTGTTATTGCTCGTGGTTGACAGCATGTATTGGACGTGCTACAAGAGATTAGAAGTAACTCCCGTGACTATTTCGCCGTTCGAGTACACAAATGGGACAGCCGACAAGCCTTGCCACAAGATTCCATTGAACGCTTTGAAGAGACGTAGACTTGAACATTGCTTCACGGAACATCCTTTGGAGTACGAGATCGATGATTGCGGAAAAGCGTCCGGATTGACAGTGTCCTTGTCGTTAATGTGCATCACTATAGCTACGATTTTACACACCTACGTATAATAGCAAATTAATTGTTCTTTGATATATTGTCTGCTGTTTTGCACGAGTAAATAAATAAAAGTAAAAAAAAAAAAAAAAAAATGTGAAGAGTGCGCGACGTTTTCTCAACTACTGACGAAAAAAAAAGAAACCAGTTTTCGCTTCCAGAGGTGTCCAACAATTTTGATTTCAAAAAATCTTCCGAGATATATTTTTCTTAAAAACAAAATTCAATCAATTTTAGTTTATGAGAAAAATGTTTACAAAAGAAAGAGTCCAAATGAGGAAATATATTTGACATCGAGCGGAGATTAGAAGCGCCTCCAGCAATAATTCTGCGTGTTACACAACTTGGTCCATGTTTACTCTTCAAAAAACGATCGTCGCTAAAAATATCTTCTCCACCAAGGTCTGAATCACCCTTGCTTTAGCGGGTAGCTTTATTGATTCAGCTCCCAAGGCACTTGGAGATATTTTTCGCGACTATCTCTTTCGGAGAGTCATTCTGAGATTTCTTCGTGTTTTCTCATGATTACAAATTTCCCCGCACTGAGCCGCCCTGGTAGGTAGTTGTACTAAGTCTGGTAACTTAAGTAACTGATATCTTGCAACTCTTTACATTACGTCGATTCATCTTATTGAAAAACAACTGATGATATCAGAACGGATTCTACACTTTCATCTGGGGTTTTAATCTATAATCTCGGGCATTGTGAAAGCAAACAATTCTGATTTCGATCTGATGGTCGGTGTGACTTGATGTGACTGCGCGTCGCTCGTCGTTGTTGGCTCGCGTTGTGACATCGTGCGCAAGCCTCGTAGGAAAATCGATAAGCTCGAAAACGCGTAATCTCGATTCAGCGAGTCGCCAGTCCGAGCCCAGTGAGTGTACGTGTTGTATACAGTAAGGACGACCGCGACGGTAGCGACGACGACGACGACGACAACAGCGACGGCTACAGTCGACGTCGATCAGACCGATCACAAGTACATGGTTGACACGAGATAGTCCGGGATTTGTTTGTTGCGTCCTCTTACGTGAACTGTTCTCTTTCCAGGGAACAAACCGAGGTGATCAGATAGTGATAGTTATGAGGTCCTGCTTCGTACCTGTTGTTGTTGTTCTGATCTTGATCGAGGCAACCGGTCGTGGCGATAGCATCTCGTACAACACGTGAGTAAAGGACTCCGTTGACGGATCCGTCAGCGTTTGCTCCGATTGTATTTACGAACTGATTTCTCGTATCGCGATATCCTCGCGTTTACGTTTGACGATAACCCGTTCGTTTTGACGTATTCGCAAACGATAATGAAGCGATGAATAATAGCAATGAATTTAGGTCAACCGTGAAGAACCATGTTTCCTCTAGTCGTAGTGACGGCGTGGCCTACAAAAAGCTGACTTTTTGAAGATAAAAGAAAATTTTGCGATTGTGTCCATTCGGGCTAGTCACTTGTGTTTTGCAAAAATTATTACAGTCGCGAATTATATATTAAATTATATATTTGTTGTATTTCTGACTTCTTCCTCAACACAATAAATTTTTAAAAAGAGAAGAAAATCTTTTGGATTTATTTTTCAGATTTTCGAAATTATATTCGTCATTTCTTTTTGAGAAAGAAGTTTTTTTGTCTCGAGTAAACAAAATCGCCTCATTTTTTTTTTGCTTCCAATTTAATTCGAGCAACGTTGTTTGTATATTCAAACTAATTTCGTTCGCGTCTCGCACATTGAGCACGAAGTTACATATAAATTAATTGAGAGCAAAGTCGCCATTATTATTAAATTAAAAAATAATGGTGTGGAAAAAAATAATGTTGTACAAAAAAAAGAAGTGTTGCGTTCAATATGTACAAAACAGATATATACAATTTTTTCTCAAAATAATTCTCTTCTAATACTAATATAAAAAAAAAATAGAGCACAATAGACCACGTGAAGTAACAAAAAATGTACTTATGGTCAATTTCTTCACCTCTGATACATTTTCGATAATTTTATCTAAAAAAAGAAGAATAAAGTATTTTTTTGCATATCTTTTAAATATGCGCTTTATTTTCAGAAGATAGCTATCAGAAGGTATGAAGAAATCGGGCCTTATCGTTCTTAAATATTCCAATAACAGCTCGATGAAATCAATTAAAAGACAAATAACCAAAGAGCCTGTGGTCCAAGGGGTTGGACAATTAAAAACAATCTAAAACCATATTCCGAAATATACTGCGTTTTAAGTTGTTTTTGATTGTCCACCTTCAACTTGGATCACAGGTTTTTCGGTTTTTTTTTTTTTTTAATTTAATCATTCTTGTCTAAACAATTGTATTGTATAATAAAAATTATTATTATTATATATATATATATATACATTATTATGTGTTATTTTATGACAGAGTGAAGACATGGGCGAACAAACTGGGTTTCGAGCTCTCGCAGCTCGGCAAGTTCGTTACAAAAATAGACAAGTTTCACGATAGTTACAAGTTAGCAGAAGTTAAACCACGTGACGGAAATGCCCTGGTCCACGAGATTGCTAAAGATATCAAGGCTATGATGGAATCTAAGATCTCAGCTATCAAGGTTCACTCATTTCCCTTCTCCGCGACTGTTTTGTTTCTCTTCGAATCGCAACCACCCAGATAACAAAATGCCCGCACAATGATCTCACGGTGAGCGCACGGCATGCGGATTATTTCGTTCACGGTGTGACTTCATATCACTAGACATATGCGTATCATTTGATAAGCATCTTTAGATCATTTGAGAGTCATATAATTCGCACGCGTTGCAGATTCACGCGTGCGAGTTAAATGTAGCTCTCACACGTGCGAGCAATATGAGTCTCAACTGAGTAATAAATAAATAAGCGATTTAAGCCAGCGGTATATACACGGTACGTTTTTGCTCGGTGGATTGATTGCAAATTAGTAAAATGCTAGAAATGCAATATGCTAGAAAAACCATACAGCATATAACATTTTTAATAATTTACTAGCTTCCCTTACGAAAAAGAACTACTGCCGATTACATATAAATAAAGTCAGTAATATAAATATTACTGACAATCACATAAGAATATCATCAGATATTACAGGAATCACTGAGAATATTACTGGCAATTACACAGAATGCCAGTAATTTTTTCGTACCACTGCCGCAATATATTACTGCCAGTAGTTCTTTTTCGTAAGGGTTGTACTCGATCCAGCAAACAAACGTACTGTGTGACGCTGGCTTTATATAGTTTAATAAAATAACTATTGTAATATTACAATTATTCTGACAAAAAAAAATTCTATAAGAAAATAATTCAAAATGATATATATTATTTTTTGTTGTCCATTATTTGTCCGAACAAATTTGAATAAATTTTAGTAAAATAATGGGATTTTCCTTGCCGCTCAAAAGGGATCAAATACATAATTTTAAAATAACTTTGTAAATGAATAACAAAACTGAATAATAATTATTTAACAAATGTTACAATAATGTTGCTTAAACATTTTTTAAATAAAATAGGGTTTTAAAATAAAATACTAAATAAAATGAATATATATTAATTAAATGATAAAACGTTAAATATTAACGTTTATTTTATAAAAACGTTTATATATTATAATATTTATTTAACGTTTATTTTATAAAAATTAAAACGTTACATAAATATTCTTTTGTAAATAAAAAAAATAAAAATAAAAAATAAACGTTACATAAATATAAAACAAATAATAAATAATGGTTTTTACATTTGTTTACAAATTAAAAATAATTCAAAAATAAATGTAAAATAAATATATATTTTTTAAATATTTAATAAACGTTTTTCCGCAATAAATTTTGCCAATGAAAACATAAACGTTTAAAAAACATGTTTAAAAAATCTTGTGTGTTGATTAGATATAAGTTATTTACGCAATAATAAGAGCTGAACTTTAAAATAAGAAATAATTTATTGAATTCGGCGGAGATCATTACGTCAATTATTTCATAAAAACAGCATGATGCTTTTACGCACACACGACATGATTATCACGTCGTGAGGATAAATTGAGCCTTCACAAAGTGTTATCTGAATGTCTTCATCACACGTAGTTTTACAGTGCTAGCGTTTATTTACGCTCGCATGTGCGCTTTCATCACATCATGAAGGCAACACGATGACGTTCTTGCACGCACGACGTGATTATTACGCGTGAGAGCAATGTGAGCCCGCACAAATTGTTATCTGGGCACGTGTGAGAACTTACCAAGTGACTTGCCAATTTTTTTTCCAGAGGATAATGGACGTGGCCGAGACATCGGCGATGTCGTCTCCCAACGAGGATCCGCCGGAGTCCTACACCTACATCAACGCGAAGAACAACACCATCGACCTCGAGTATAGTGGTCACTTCGGCGGTCACGTGAATCTCAACATGTCGGCGGTGCACGTGCCCACGAACGTGTACGACCGCGCGTCTAACGTCATACGGGCGATCAAGTGGTCCGAGAATCTCGATCGCACTTTCATCAACAATTACGAGCAAGACCCGTCGTTGTCCTGGCAGTACTTTGGCAGCGCGACCGGCTTTATGCGTCAATATCCCGCGATGAACTGGTATATGCAACCGGTAGATCTGTTCGATTGCAGAACGAGAAGCTGGTACATCGAAGCGGCCACCAGTCCCAAGGACGTTCTCATCCTGATGGACACGTCTGGCAGCATGACCGGCATACGACGGGAAATCGCTCGACACGTGATAAACAACATCCTCGACACGCTGGGCAACAACGATTTTGTCAACATCATTACGTTCTCGAACGTGACCCAAGAGGTAAGAATTTGCACTGCAAAGAATCCGGTTAATATATATCTTTTTGGAAAGATAATAAAAATATCTTTTGATTAATAAATTTGTGCAGGTAGTGCCGTGCTTCAACGACACACTGGTCCAAGCAAATCTGGCAAATGTGCGCGAGCTGAAGCGAGCGATCTCGGATCTCAACACGGAGAAGATCGCCAACTTCTCCCTGGCACTTACGACCGCTTTCGAGCTGCTTGAGTCATTTCGTACCGAACGCGAGGGTGCCAGATGCAATCAGGCGATCATGCTGATCACCGACGGTGTGCCGTACAACTTCAAGGAGATCTTCGAGGTTTACAACTGGAAGGACAATCCGGAGGAGCCGACGAAGGCCGATATGCCCGTCAGGGTGTTTACTTATCTGATCGGAAGAGAAGTCGCGGACACGCGGGAAGTGAATTGGATGGCATGCGCGAACAGAGGATACTACGTGCATCTGTGCACTCCGGCGGAAGTGAGAGAAGAGGTCAGTGAAACGAAGTTATATATTTATGGAGTGTAAAAAAATCGGCACGGAAAGCCGGAGATTTCAGGTTCGACTCCTGGCCGAGGTGTTTTTTTCGCAATATTTTAAAAAATTAGTTAAAGGGGTATACGGGGTCTCTCTCATATATGTGATGCAAATATAGAATCCTATGTGAATTTAAGAATTGAAATTTCAATTCAAAAACTCACGTGTAAGATTTACACGTGAATACATTATATATATATATAATGTAGTCACGGGTAGAAAGGATTATTCTAAGACGAAAAGTCCTATATCACTTTGGATGATTTGCAATAATTAACGAGATATGAATTAATAAAGATCCGCTAATCAGCATGCATCCTGTATATATATATATTATTATTAATAATATATATATATTAATTATTAATTAATTATTGCAAATCTTCCAAAGTGATATAGGACTTTTCGTCTTAGAATAATCCTTTCTACCTGCCTACAAGGGGTGAGACGGCAATTACGGGACACTCTGTATATATATATTTCCGCAATAACATTCAGCGTACGGTTACGGCTCTTATTACCGTTTGTATATTTCGTGTAAAAAAATCTTCTAAACCTCTAGAAAATATCCCAGCGCAACTTATTGCTTTGTTCACTGGCAATTCGTATTCGTCATCAAATGTAATCGCGCGACTTCTCTTCAAGGTGTTGAAGTACGTGCCGGTGATGGCGAGGCCTCTGGTGCTGGGCCGTACCGATCATCCCACCATCTGGACGCCCGTTTACGCCGACATAACCGATCCGAAGATGACCGACTGGCTGTGGGAACAGCGCGAAAGCGAGGAACAAAAGGAGCGCTTTTTGCTCTATCACAGAAACAAGAAGTACTTCAACACGGAGGAGCAGGATCGGCGATTCGTGAAGAAACAGAAGCGTCGGCACGACCAGACCAGCGGTCTGCAGGAATACAAATTGATGACTTCGGTTAGCATGCCGGTCTTCGATCGGCGTGATAACGCGGTAAGATTATTGTAAATGTTGTTAAATATTTACTTTGCGAAACAACAGTTAGAAGTCGGCAGGCGATAAGGACATAAGAACGGCCTAAAAAAAAAACAATTTTAGTTTAAGGTTTTTAACGATCTGACATCTTTGTTCTCATTATATCAGAAAAAAAAAATTATCTCTCACATTTCCCTTTTTTTCTTTGGTCTGCATTTTCATATTTTACGGATTACGTTTGCGTCTCACTTGTTTTGCACATTCCTTGGACCTTTTCATAAGCACGTTGTGTGATCGCTATCTAAATATCCAAATCGAAACAAAATTAAAAAATTCTTGTAATTTTTTTTTTGCGTTTCCTTAAGGTATATATCGACGGATGTACTTGCTTCCGTTTTAAGTTCCTCTTTGTCCACAGAACATCACAAAGCAGGTGCTGGTGAACGAAGCGTACTGGGTGACAGAGACAAGAGAGGTTGGCAGCTAATACAAAAAGCTCAAGCAAAGTTGTTCTATAATGCATATAGTACACACATTCTGTACATACCTTTATCTTTTGATTTTTCGTGCGACCTACAACCTCTCTCTCTTCTCCGTTAATTCGCAATTTATTGCTCATTGAAACTTCTCGCACTTGGAATACAAAGTAGAGAATCAATAATAATAAACCCACGGAAAGAAAATTCATAAATCTAATGGCGGCGTAATTTGTTTTCAAGTTATTCTTTTCGACTAAAAAAAAAAAAAAAAAAAAAAAAAAAATGAACTCTCCGACGCCGACAAGTCGAGCTCGTGTTATGTAAGAAGTGTTACGTAACAACGATATATATATATATACGGAAGGATGTTAGAGAACGAGGTCGTG